CCTCCACGTAAAGATCTGTTCATAAGCAAGGTAAGGGGCTCAGATATTGCATCTGAACCATCCTTTAGAAGTCCTGCTGGTAATCCTGGGATGCCTGTTGATTTTTTTCACTTTTAGAGACTTTAATTGCTTTTTAACAAACTCTGGTTCCATCTGAGAGAGCTTGAATGATGGTGGCAAACTTGTTTGAACTGGGATAATATAGGTACTAACTCGCAATAAAACCTCTCTCAGACTTCCAATGATGGTTTTAAAAAATGAAGCCAGATGAGAAGATAATGTTTTGGGATCTGTGATATTATTTCTGTTGACAACAAGAGTGTCGATCTGACTTGATCAAGTACCAGATGAAATAGCTGACTTCACGGCATTCCAAAATTTTCCTGAATCGTTTTTGTTTTCCTAAATTAGATTGGTATAGTAGTTACGTTTAGCATTACGAATCTGAGATACTACTTGATTTCTGATAGCTCTATAAGTAGCCCAATCATTGCAAGATCCAGATTTTTGTGCCTTCTTATGGTGGAAATTTCTCTCCTTGATCAGATTTCTGATGTTTTCATTTAACCATGGAAGAGTAAAAGATCAAATTCTCATTGTAATGGAGGGGACGTGTTTATCCACTATATCCATAAAGGTTCTTTTGAAAGCCATCCAAGCATCATTTACTGTGAGGGAGGTGTCAGTGTTTTCCCAAGAGGCAGAGTGCAGGTCATCAGCAAAATTTTGAGAAGAATATTTATTAAAGCGTTGACAACACACAGACACTTTGATAACTATTCTTCTCAAAATTTTGCTGATGACCTGCACGCTGCCTCTTGGGAAAACATTGACACCTCCCTCACAGTAAAGACATTCATTGCCTGATGTCTTGAATGCAATGTTTGATAGAGGCAACTGCACCAGTCTGGGCAGAGTGCACCTTGGGACTAAACGAGATATGTAACTGAGGGTCATTAGCATAACAATGAATAGGTGGGAGGTGCTGTTCAACGACATCAAACATAAACTTTAAAGAGAAGTAGGCTTGGGCACGACCCTTAAAAAATGCCATACCTAAGGTCAAACTCATCAGATACAGCTCCCTGAAATGAGACTCACTGGGAGAAGCCAAACAAATAACATCAGAACCAGTCAAGAGCAGCGCCATCCAAACCAATTTTTGACGATAATCTGTTAAGGAGAATGCGATGATCAACAGTATTGAAAGCAGCACTGAGATCAAGCAATACAAAGATAATAACGTGCTGCTTGTTCATATTTAACAGAACATCATTTGTTACGTTTAGAAGTGTTGTTTCAGTGCTGTGATCTTCTATAAGCAGGTTGCACAACTGGGTATAGGTTATTACTAACCAGGTGACCGTGAATTTGATTGAAATCAGCCCTCTCAATGAGGTTAGACACAGAAGACAAGTTGCCTATGAGACAGAAGTTCGTAAAGATGATATCAAGACTGGATTTCTTTGATAGTGAAAAAACTTGAGGTTCTTTCCAAATGTCAGGACAAAGCTCATGCTGCAATAAGTTGTTGATGATTTTTGTGAGAACTGGGAGGAGATCCTAACATTTGCTAACCAGTGTGGATGGCATAGGGTAAAAAGGGCAGGTTTTAAAGGCCACGTTCTGGATAAGCTGATAGCATCATAAATGGTGGGAATGATGTCACAATCTCATCAAAAACAGCAGATAGTGTCATCTTCTGGAAGTGAATCAGTCTGCTGATTATTTCAATCTGAGAACGCTTGCCTAACAGAATCCTGTGGTCCACGGTATCAAAGGCCTTAGTAAAATCCAAAAACATAGCCCCACATGGTTTACCTGGTTCCATATTTAATAATATACATTGAAAAATTACTCAGTTCTGATTGGTTAAGATAAATGCAGTTTTCAGGTAATTTAGTGCAGGAGAGAGTTAATTCAGTGCAGAAGAGGGTTAATTCAGTGCAAAGAAAGAAACAAGTCAGACATTCTGATTGGTCAATAATCAAAGAAACTCACAGATAGCCATCAAATGCGAGCCTTGGATGTTGCAACAAAATTTGAAAATTTGAAAATTTGCGAGCGAAACAGTGGCCAGCGTTTTAAGTAGGTTTTCTTTCGCCACCGCAGATGAGAAACAGCTTAAACAACGAAAACAATGCAAAAAGCACTGCTTTTTGGTTGTCGGTTTGGAAAAAGTGGTGTATAGAGAAGGAAATTGCCAAGGAAATAAAAAATTATGAGCCAACCCAGCTTAACACTTTGCTCAAGCAATCCGATGCCAAAACTAAAAACAAACATGGTTAAACCTCGGAAATGACAATGCAATTTAATCGAAAGTGATTCGGACACAGACTGAACAATTCCTTGAACTGTTTAGCCGGACTTTGAACTTTTTTGCACCTTAAGGATGTGAAGATGTCATTGCATATTATTGTTTTGATTGTACGCGGTTGTTTTGACCGAACGCACGGTCTGAATAAATTATTTTTTGCACTTGATGTGCGTGCTTTTTCTATGTTTAATTATAATAAGCCATCTTATATTTTCCATGTATATTATTAACATGAAATCACATGATTTTTCTTGTGCAATTTGGAATAAACAAGCACTTGTTAATTTTTTCAAAGACCACAAATTGCACTGGTCCTATGGGCTTGTGCAATTTTGGTAGTCTTTTAAAAAATTTACTCGTGCTTATTTATTCCAAATTGCACTCAAAATCATGTGATTACCTATACTAATAAGACTTCATCAGCAAAAGATGTCAATGCAGATATAGTAGAAAGCCCCATCCTGAATTCAAAGTGTTTCCTTACAAGTAGATTGTTAGTAACTACGTACTGGTACAATTGTGAATGCACAGCTTTCTCAGAATTTTACTGAGTGTAGATAGAATAGAAATGGGTCGATAGTTCAACTCATTTTTCCAGTTGCCCAATTTAAACATAGCTGTGATTTTTTAGCATTTCCACAATTTAGGAAATGTGCCAGTACAATTAAAAAAATTCAATAGCTTGTTGATAGATGGTATGATGGTACAAGCAGGGGTCTTGAGCAGTGTTGCACTGATTTCAGGGAACACTGGTTTTGTTGAAAAATTGGGGAAAACGTCCACAAAACTAGAAGAATTTTGACAACCAAACAAATTAAACAGTGCTTGAGAAATTGGCCTCATTAGCACCACAAAACACAAAAATATTGCAAATAAATTTTAATAAGTAATCACTCACTTCCACAGATCTCACCTCGGACACAGAGGAATGAAAAACACATGGCAAATGTACCTCCAACATTTTTGATAATGAATATGAGTGACAAATGTGACAGAGATAGACCAATTCAACAGTCGTTGACAAAAGATCACCAGCATGGTCATCAATGAAAGATCACCAGAATTGTCTGTAACTGTTGACGTACTAACTTATGCTACATCCCAACAAAGTGGTGTCAGCTTTTATGAAGCTGAAACCACAGGAACTAAAATTGATCATGCTTACCCTCAAAGATTTCCATGCACTGTGGCATGTTTCTGCTGTGGCATGGGTTTAAAACAAGTATCACAGTGCTGAGGCTTTGTAGACCATAGTTTGCTTTCACTGCAATAAAAGGTGCAATTACACTTGTGCTAATAAGAATAGTGATTTCCAAAATCGTGGTGATCATAGTTGTAATTATAACAGTAGTCAAAGTACTAGTGACAATGACAATAATATTAAAAATTATAACAATAACAATTATGATAATAATATTAATTATTTTAATGGGACTAACAAAAGTAAAGCTTATATTAATAGGTGAAAATAATAGATGGGTATATTAGCTTTTGTAAACTTCCAAATGACCAGGTTTACCTACCTTTCAAGGCTTCATGGCCTCTGCACTCAGCAATCCAGAAATAAATATCTGGACTGTTTGCCACAACATTGAGTATGCTTGAAAAAAGTAAATGCAGTGTAGGTAAATATATATCAAATTCACCCTAGTAAAACAAATGTGGAGACAGAATAGGCAGAGAAAAATCAATTAGAAAAGACATAAGATTTGGCTAAGTTAATCAATCTCCTCTTGCTACCTGTAGCTGCCACTGGCGACTACTACTGACTAATTCTAGCGCAATTTTTAACGCGGAACGAAACGACATGGTACAATTAAAACTGCAAATAAAACAGCGAACGAAAACTATTACAATATAAACTAGACTAAATACACAAGGAAAGCTACAACGAAAACAACGAAGAAAACTACATGATACAAAACTTACATTTGTTGTGATGTTAAAGATCCTGCCTAGTGGCGGACAAACTGCACGAAGCGAAAAGAACAAATATACGAAACTACACTCGAAGAAACTACACTGCAAAACTGCACCAAACTATGATGAACAATACAGTTAAATACATGCTACGTTACGCAACGTTACACAATGACACAAAGAAAGCGCACACAGAATTTTACTACAATTAGCACTCTTGCACAAGAACAGTAAACAAACGAAAAAGAATGTAAGGCGTTACAATCTACACCGGCCCCTAAGTGTTGACGCGCGTGAAACACTTAAATACATTACTGATATTAGATCTAAACGGCTTAACTTAATGGATTCTAGGCCATGAAGTGATGATAAAATACATAACAAGTGCGAACCGAAAGGAACTGCTATGCGCTGAAAGCATTTGCAAACAGCAAGTTCGAAAACTACAATAATACAAAGTTCTCATAAAAGCAAGTCTCAACTCTCAGCTGGACTTAAAGTTCAAACTTAAAGTTCTTAATGAGTTGAGCTCTCTTCAGTGGCTTGGAGAAGAATGCACTTGTCAATGGGTTTGTCCAACAATGATGTTCTTGTTTTTAACTTTACACGGCGAACGCGTCCATCCCTGCTTGGTACTACTTCAACCACACCAGCCATCGGCCAACAATTTTCTCGGAGAGGTATCGTCCTCTATGTTCCTGTGCGGATAATGCCACTTTTGGCGTTGCTGCAAGAGGGGCAGATATTCCTTAGACCATTGCCTTCAGAACTGGTCAGCCATGTACTGAACTTGACGCCATCTTCTACAGCTAAAGGTCCCTGGAGGCAAAACTGATCCAGATTTCAAAAGCAGCAAGTGATTGGGGGTGAGGGGTTCCAAATCCTTTGCATCTTCAGATACTTTTGTTATTGGCCTTCCGTTAATGATCGACTCAACTGCGCACATGAGAGTGACTAACGCTTCATCGTCGAGAGTCTGTTGCTTGAGGAGAGCATTTAAGATCTTCTGGGTGGTCCGAATACATCTCTCCCAGACGCCACCGTGATGCGAGCCGTAAGGTGGGTTAAAGGTCCATTTGATGTCCTTTTGGAGCAAGCTTTCATGAATCCTTTCTTGATTCCAAACACGGATGGATCGTCGGAGCTCCCTTTCACCGGCTGTGAAATTAGTACCGTTATCTGAACGGATCTCTTTCACTTGACCCCTCCTCGCTTTAAATCTTCCTAGTGCTAGTAGGAAGGATTCCGTCTCCAAGCTATGAACTACTTTGATATGCACTGTGCAAATAGCTAAACATGTAAAAATAATTCCGTGTTGCTTGGCAAGGCTTCGAGGATGTCGAATGTGAAAGGGTCCAAAGCAATCAACGCCAACTGCTGTGAAGGGTGGCTGGTCTGGTGTAAGACGGTCCTCAGGAAGGTCAGCCATCTTCTGCTCGAGAACTGGCGCCTGACGGCGATGGCAACTAACACATTTAGACAGGATTCTTCTCACAGCACAGCTTCCCTTGATTACCCAAAATCGTTCGCGCAAAAGACTCAAAATGTACTCTCTACTAGAGTGACCAGAGATAAGGTGAAAGTGCTCTATCAAAAGGTTGGACACGTGATCATTCTTTGGAAGGATGATTTGATTTTTACTGTCAAAAGACGCCTGGGCTGGTCTAAGTCTTCCTTTGACACGCAGCAAGCTATAAACCAGTATTGGATCTAAGCTTTGTAAGCAACTTGACTTTTTTACAGTACTTCCACACCTTGTGAGGGAGCGCCTTTCTTCAGGAAAATGATGGCGTTGAATAGCCTTTAGGATTTCTAGCTCTGCTGCTCTCATTTCTTCAACGGAGATAGACAAGATCGTCCCTGCATGCGACTTCCTTGGTTTTTCACCCTTGCTGGCAGATTGTAACTTCTCACAGTAACGCAAGAACCAGGCAACTGATTTTTTCAGCCTGTACCAGGATGAGGTATGCTGGAAATACTTCGCTAAAGGACCAAATGGCTCCTTTGCTGATGACATAAAAGAATTGGCTTCTTGTTTCACTTCTGGATCGGTATCTGGAATGCTATCTAGCATCGTGGGGTTTCGAGGCCACACCTCCATTCGCATCCAGAGAAATTGCGCCCCCTTTATCCATCGTTCACGGTCAAGCAGTATCTCTGCTGATAGCCCTCTTGAGAGGTCGTCGCCTGGATTAGATTCTCCACTCACATACCTCCACTGGTTAGGGTCGGATCCGTCCCGAATGATTGCGATGCGGTTAGCTAAAAATGTGTGAAATCCCTTGTCTTCATTGTTCACATAACGTAACACTGATGTACTATCCGTCCAGAAAACTGATGGCTCAGTAAGTGGGAGTTCTAGCTCTCTCTTTATGGCTTTGTCTGACTGCATTGACACTGTTGCCGCTGAAAGCTCTAATCGAGGAATAGTAAATTTCTTCAAAGGTGCGAGCCATGACTTTCCTTGAAGGATAGCACAATGGACTCTATCGTTGATATCAACCAGGCCCAGGTAAGATACTGAACCAAACCCAATCTCCGAAGTGTCTGAAAAATGGTGCAACTGACTATAAGCGATGGTCCCAAAGTTGGCCAGTTTAAAACAATGGTTGATCGGAAGCTTTGACAGCATAGGAAGGTCTACAAGCCATTTTTGCCAACGTACATTGTACTCTGGAGGTATTTCCTCATACCAGCCCAATTTCATCTTGCAAAGGTCTTGTAGAATTTTCTTGGCTGTAAGGACAAATGGTGCAGCAAAACCAAAGGGGTCGAACACTGATCCAATAATGGACAAGATACCTCTCCGCATAGGGGGCCTTTCTTTGACATTGACGTCGAAGCCAAATGTATTGGTGTTTACTCTCCATTGCACGCAGAGTACTCTTTCAACTATATGTTGGAGGCTGATCTCCTTGATAGTCTGTGCGCGCTCTGGTTCTGGTATAGTCTCAAGAACCTCCCGATCACTGCTGATCCATTTCATTAGTCGGAAGCCCCCTCACTGTAGTAAGCTGCGCAAGTCACCGACATGGGCAATAGCATCTTGAACTGAAGGCAATGACTTCAGACAGTCATCAACTGACATCTGGTATTCTTTCAGTGCATAGGACAAATCGCCTTTTGGCCACCACAGAAAGCGGAGAAAGGAGCGGTCAGTGTCTGGAACCTTTACCTGGTGGAACATCGCCTCGATGTCTGCCATGACTGCCACATGCTCTTGCCGAAATCTGGTGAGGACCCCCAAGAGAGAATTTGTGAGGTCTGGTCCCTTCAACAACAAGTCATTGAGTGATTTTCCCTTGTACTTAGCAGAGCAGTCAAATACTACGCGAATTTTCCCAGGCGTTTTCCAAGGCCTCTTTGGAGGTTGTAATTTTTTCCTTTACTTCTTGTAAATTTCTTTCGTCAGAAAGTAATTCGATAACTTCATTAACTGTAGCAGTTACGTTTGCTATGTGACCTTTTCGAGTGTTCTTAAGGCTTCGAATCCTTTCGTTACGAACTCCATCCGAATCGAGAGTCGTATTTGGTCTTCTAGGTCTTGTTCGCGGATTTACTTCGTCCAATTCTTCAGGTGCTCGTTCCGAAGACATCATTGAAGCATCGCAAATTTTTAACGATGTAACTGCCACTGGCGACTAATACTAACTAATTCTAGAGCAATTTTTAATGCGGAACGAAATGACACGGTACGGTTAAAACTGCAAATAAAACAGCGAAAGAAAACTATTACAATATAAACTAGACTAAATACAGAAGGAAAGCTACAACGAAAGCAACGAAGAAAACTACATGATACAAAACTTACATTTGTTGCGATGTTATAGATCCTGCCTAGTGGCGAACAAGCTGCACGAAGCAAAAAGGAACAAATATACGAAACTACACTAGACGAAACTACACTGCAAAACTGCACCAAACTACGATGAACAATACGGTTAAATACATGCTACGTTGCGCAACGTTACGCAATGACACAAAGAAAGCACACACAAAATTTTACCACAATTAGCACTCTTGCACAAGAACAATAAACAAACGAAAAAGGAATGAATAGTCGCTAAACCATTTTAGTTCCATGTCATATACGCCATAATGGGACAGTTTACTTTATAGAAGAGGATGACTGATGGTGTCAAATGCCTTTGTTAAGTCAATGAAAACTGCTCCTGTTGCCATACCACTGTCAGCCTCCTTTCTGATAGGATCAGTGAAGTAGGTAACAGCTAGTTCCCTTGAACGGTTGCAACGGAAACCAAACTGGTACTCAAAAAGTAGATTATAGTGCTCCAGATAAGCCATCAGCTGTAAAGCTTTATTTGAATTTGCTTATTGTGTAGCACATGGGTGCTAGTTTGAGCAAACATATACATAAAGAAGTCACAATTAAATAAAAAATAAATGAATTAAAAAAAAACTTAAATATAGTATATGTACATACATGAATTAAAAATATAAATGATATATATAAGGATAAAAAGTATAGTTACATATGTAAAGATATTGCTATAAATTCTCAAAGTTAAGCGCTTAGGTTTTGTCACATTACACCAATAATGTACAATTTCCATCGGTTGCCTGTCAGGCACGCATCAACTTCAAGGTACTTCTCCTCATGTTTAGGGCGTTACATGGCCTTGCACCTCACCTCTATGGTCCTTAATTATTATAAAGACATCATGCTATAATCTCAGAGGTTCCAATACTTTACTCCTGGCTATGGCATCAGTGAAATCTTAGGCCATGCTAGGTGATTGGGCATTCACTGTTGCAGCACCGTCATTGTAGAACTCTCTGCATAGTGAGCTTCGCTCAATTACATGTGTTACTTGGTAATTTAGTGTTAACAACTGAGTTGAAAACGTAAATTAGCCATCGTAAAGGGTAAAAAAGCTGACGTTTAACGCTCGAAACGTCAGCTTTTTTACCCTTTACGGTGGCTAATTTACGTTTTCAACTCAGTTGTTAACACTAAATTACCTGCTATACTCTCCCACCAACACAGCACCACAGTTTGTTTAGAAACTTACCCTTTATCCACATGTGTTACTAGTTTTAAAACTCATCTTAGGACCTATCTTGTTAGTCTTGCATATACTTGATAGAGATTTTATTGGGATGTTATTAGCATTTTCTCTTTTTGTATAATATATACCTTAGTTTCTTCAATTCTCTTTTATGTAATATATACTTTAGGAATATGCATCTGATCATAGTCATGTAAAGATGTGCACTAGAAATGGATAAATTATTATTATAGTTTAATTATTAAAGTTGATGTGCCTTACAAATTTCTTAAGAGATTGAAGATCAGGTTGAGTTCTCAAATTATCATCCAAGAAATTCCATATTTTGGATCCAAAGTACCTAATGGATTTAAAACCATGATGTATTCTAGGTAAGGATAGAATATTAGATCCTCTAAGTTGATAATTTGTGTTATGAGTAGTAAATAAGTCCTTAATATCGGATGGAGCGATATTATTCAATGCTTTATATATTAGTATAGAGATATTTTGGAGCCTATGACTGTAAAGTGTAGTCATATTAGCCCTATTTAAGAGGTATTGATAGTCATTTTCCTTATCCTGAAAAACACTTTGAAGAGCATGTTCATGTAGTTTTTCAAGCTTATCAGAATCACTCTTTAGACAAGAGTGCCATACCATAGAGCAATTATTAAGATGTGATAAAATGAAAGAATTATACATTGACTCTTTTAGGTCTTCGTTGATAGCAGTCTCAATGGCTGCAGGACATTCACAACTGAAGTGGAGCTGATTGTCATCAGCATAGGCATTCACGTTATATTTGGTAACACAAAAATTCAAGTAGTTGACAAAGATATTGAAAAGAAGTGGTCCCAATACTGATCCTGGGGGAAGTCCCCTTAAGACCATCAACCAATCAGAGAAAATGTTCCTCATTTTTACATGTTGTCTACAGCCAAACAAGAAACTTTTCATCAGGCTGATGTTCAAAAGCCCATGTGCAGTAAGTTTGGCTAGGAGGAGGTCTGGTGATAGACTGTCTTTGCTAAGGTCTAAAGATACGACGCCCAATCCAGAATCAAGATTAAGTGGTCACAGAAGCTTAGCATATGTCAAAATGCAGTGTTTAGCTGCGTGATTCTTTAAAATATGTCGTGAGATTTAGACAAAATTTCTGGAAACATCAAAAAAGAAGAAAAAAAGGAAGATATTTGCAATATACCTTTAAGGCTACAGATCTTCTGTGCTATTTGGTTATCAATATGAGTTATTATACAAAGAAACAGTTCAAAGCTTTCAAAAGCTTGGAGGTCTACAACCAGATGTTTTTGGGTTTTATTTCCAATGTTCAAGGCAAAGTAATAGGTGAAAAATTTCTGGTGATCCAAAAGGTGAGATATTCTTAACGAATGAATGAGCGGCCAATTGCAGTTTGGATTATTACGAATAAGGAGGGAGTCGTGTTGTCAGCTCACTGCCTTGGTTGTAAAGCTGGACTAGCTGAGACCTGTTCACATATTGTAAGTATTTTATTTCGTATCGAAGATGCAACAAGAATAAATGAAACACTGGTATGTACGCAAGTAAAGTGCATGTGGTTGTTACCAACATATGTGAGTGAGGTTCCTTACGGTAGGGTCAAGGTCTTAAGGTCCTGCTACATTGATCAATGCAAAGTTAGATCCACAATGTTTAACACCCATAGAGGCTACAGATCTTCTGTGCTATTTGGTTATTGATATGAGTTATTATACAAAGAAACAGTTCAAAGCTTTCAAAAGCTTGGAGGCCTACAGCAGGAGGGTTTTGGGTTTTATTTCCAATGTTCAAGGCAAAGTCATGGGTGAAAAATTTGTGGTGATCAGAAAGGTGAGACATTCTTAACGAGTGAATGAGCAATCAATTGCAGTTTGGATTATTACTAATAAGGAGGGAACTGTGTTATCAGCCCACTGCCTTGGTTGTAAAGCTGGACTAGCTGAGACTTGTTCATATATTGTAAGTATTTTATTTCATATTGAAGACTCAACGAGAATTAATGAAACGCTGGTATATATGCAAGTAAAGTGCACATAGTTGCTACCACATATGTGAGTGAGGTTTCTTATGCTAGGGTCAAAGATATCAACTTCAAGTTGGTGAAGAAGTTGAAAGATAAGATGCCTGTATTGAGGGACTATCAGTAAACTCTTCACCTTCTTTATCAGCACCTGACACTACAAAGAGAGCAAATATCTCAACAGAACACGTTACATCTGGAGAACTGAGCTGAAATATTAGCTTGTCAAACTAAATGAGTGCAAGTTCAAATCTGTAGCTTTAAGTTTGATTGAACCCTACTCTGAACAGTTTATCATGAAAAGTAGAAGTATCCCAACCATTTCTGACCTTTTTGATCCATCTAATTTTGACTTGTCCCATCCAGAACTCCAAGAAAAGTGTGAAAATATTGATCTGACAATCTCAGAACCACAGGTAGAATTAATTGAGCAAGATACCAGGGAACAGGCGAAAGGAAATGCATTTTCAAGCACAGAGCTGAGCACATTGGTGCATCTCTTAGTTGGGCAGTAGCTCATACTAACCCTGCTATGCCATCACAATCCTTAATCAAGTCCATATCATATCCTGATCTGTTCAAAGTTACTACTAAAGTCATGGCCACAAGAATGAGAGTGCTGCCTTAAAAAGAGTATCATTTTCCTTCAAAGTTCTGTAATTGTTTCAGTACAACCTTTCTTTTTAAGGATTTTCTTTATAACTCTTTGTATTGCATGAAAAGGGTCCAGTTTTATAGTTACATCAGGAAATATCCTTTACAGTTTACACACTAGGCACAGAATTATCTGAAAGGAAAATTGTTGGCTTTTGTCCCTGTTTATCTAGCCTGTTTTATGCAAAACATTTTCAATTGACGAAAACTTGGTTCTTTTACACAGCTTCTTTTACACATTTCCCTCCTCATAAAGGACAATAAATGATGTATCATACA